TATTACTTTGGAACAAGCCAAATATTCAGAGGAAGCAATGCAGCACACAAAACATCAACACCATTTCCTGCGTACTCTTTGGAGGTCTTATCCAGTCACTGGATTAGCCCTTAGATTGCTTCCTTTGAAGGCCCTGGAACAGTGTGACAGCCAGGATAGTCAGCTTCAAACAGGATGCACCACTACCTCCCAAAACAAACCATGGACACTTCAGAGGTGTGCTGACTTCTGAGAGCAGCCCAGACAGATTTGGCAGGATACATAAGAAGAATTCAAACTCAGGACCGCCCTTCAGAACCACAAAAAGATCACAAATGCCAGTTGTATGGTATTCTGACAGAACCCTGAACAAAGATTACTTCCAACAATTGCTCCAATTCCCACTGCTCACAGCTGTATTAACACCACACAGCCAATGAATGTTCTGTATGATTCATTTTAGAACACTGATTTTTCTCTGCTAAGTCCCAAAAGAGCAGCAGACCACAAAACCAGAAAAAATCTGAGATTTTATTACCGAGCTTTCCTGGGAATCTTCCTTTAAATTTGTTGTAAATTGTTTGGAATAACTTCACAAGGCTTTATATTTCAGGATGTATTTCAAATAACTGGAAAGGCATTAGCCTCAGCACCTTTACTGATGTTACTGCAAACTCAAATGGGCAGGCAATGCAGCTCCTTAAAACAAAGATATTGGACAGGAGCTTTTTTCTTGAAGAGCTTTACAAGCAGGTGGCCAGCAAGTGTCATTTATCCAGCATAACGAGGAAAATACAWCTTTCTCTATAGCTTTATTCAGAACAGCAGATCATCCAGAACACGGTGAGACACTTCACATAGACAATTAAGAAAACATGCCAATCAGGATCTTCGATACAGGAAACTCTAGAAAACTCCACTGGTTATGTTTAAAACTTGTGTTTTAAGAGTAAGTATAGCAAGTGTTTAAAGTTAATTTTCTGTTTTCAACAGCTGACCATTAAAGGCWTTTTGCAGAGCAAAATGTAGCAATGAGTTTATGCAACAAAAGCTGCATTATTGCCCAGAAATCAGAAAACATTTCTATCGCTACAATCTGAGAAACTACAGTGAGAGACACTAAAATACACTGGCATTACAGAGCACAAAAATGCTCCTTAGCTCTCTTCTCTCCCACACTCCAGCACCCGATGTCACTCCTGCAGCCCCGCTTTGCYCCCATTAGCAATTAAGTACAATGGAGAGCTCTGGGTTGCACCGCGCGAGTTGAACGATGTTGGCAGCACTACTTTTAGCGAGGATCATGTGTTACAATTATCACCGTGCCCTCAAGTAGCTCTTAAGGCACTGCTAATGCTTTCTTGGCTAATTAAATTAAGCTAACCTTGTATACATTTCTAAAATGTCTAACTAGTATGCCGATATGATTTAAGAGTGTTTATTACACAATGAATTCTTGATCAACACTTTTGATTTGTGCTTTGAGATGACTAAGAAAAATCATTTCAATTGCCAAAGAAGTGTTACCAGGAATCATAACTCAGTGTCTGAAAAAATCAGACATTAGTAGACACAAAGTGCATTAAATTTAACCATTTAATGGTCACAGGAATTTCAATTTTTTCATAGCGTATGTGAAGTCCACTGAACCTRTAAGTCTTGTACTAAAATTCTGTGCCTCCATAAAAGGTTTTGATGAGGTTCTCTTGTCAGAATGCTATAATATAAAGCTATAACACTTCCTAAGTTTTAATGCTCAGAAGAAAAATCTGTATTTTTACATACATATGTATAATTTGTATAACAATAAAATATATTTTTATGTAAGCATAGCCTCAATATCTATTAAATAGTGTGTAAATCAGTCCAGGAAACAGGAAGAAAACAAAGCCCAGTTTTTCCCCTCTGTACCCTCTCTATGCACTCTGCTATGACATCATCTCAGACAATAAACTTCTTGGCTCCTTGATCCATTTAGTGAGGGATTTTGTTCATTTTAATCTGGCTTCTGGTCAGCAGACAGACACACGTATTCATCTCCATCACTGACTGCGTGGTTGCCAATCAATAATTCAAACCAGTTTACTTTTCAAAGCCTGACGTCATTGCTTTCTCCAAGCTGAGTGAGTACTACAGAGGGAATACACAGAACATGATAAAGGCATTTAGGCTATTACAGTCCATTTCCACAAAATGTGTGCTGCCTCCAGATTCAGATCAAACAAAAAAAGGACACTATTCACACATAACTCAGCATAATATTGAAGCAGAAGACTAGAAACTTAAGTTCTTGRGAAAGGAGTCAAGCCTATCCTTGTAAACGTATGCAAAAAAACAAACAACTAAAAAAAAAAAAATCAGAAAAAGCCAAGAGGAAAAAATAAGAAGGAAAGAGAAAATAGAGAAGAGGTAGAACGCAAATCCTTCCCCTCATTTGGTCTATTCAGCATCTTACAGGATGCCATTAGGTTACTAACCCACTTTTTGTTGCTAATAAGGAACAGATACATGATCTTTCAAAATTCATTCTGAAAGGTGGCTACAAGTATTCCCACAGAAGAGCATTTCTCAGGGCATCCAGGTCAGAACCTCCATGCAAGAAAATTAAGTCACACAGTGCAAACAAGAAGTGTCCCATCTCTGCCAGAGCTCCAAACTCTAGCTGCCCATTAACCCGATTAACTGCTGGTGGCAAGGCTGGTTTCCTGATGTGACACCCAAAAGATTTTAAAAGGACACACTGTTCCAGCCAACTGAAAACAAAAAGAAAAAAAAAAAAAACCATACAACTGCATGAAGACGAAGACTATGCCAGCAAGCTTTCTGAACGCAGCCTCACTATCTGTCTCCCGMCAGTCACTTCCAAAAGCAAAGGCTTTGTCTCCCTATTGCTATACTTATTCATGTCCTAATCACTGAAATCCTTCTCTGGCACTACTTCAAGAAGATTCAGAAGCTCAGAAAGGCGCTGTATTGCTGACAACACTTACATCTGAAAAATTAAGAGAGTTGTACAAAAACAACTTTAAAATACATTGAGATATATATATTTTACAAAGCACACTGCATGGGAGAAATAAGAAAAAAAAACCTTGGATAACTTCTGCTCATATTTGGCAATTACATCTTAAAGGAAAAACCTCAAACGCTTGAGATTTGTTATGAAGTGAAACAAGTTCATTCCCATACGACAAAATTTACATTTAACTTTAGAAGAAATGYTCTTTCAGAAGCGTGGGCAATATCCTGAGAAGTATTTACAGTATTTTACACTATTTTGCACAATCTCCTTTCCTTACACTGTGACAATAACATAATTTAAACATTTGAATGATTTGTAGTAAAAAACCACTGTTAATGAATTAAAAATACTTGGAAAGAAGCCCAAGCTAGTCCAAGCAGCAGTAAACTCCCTGAGAAGTAAGCCAGTAAGGGTTACTTCAAACTTTGGTTCACAAACCACAAGACCCACGATATGAATAAACAGAAACTGCACACTAGAACAAGCAGAACAGCTTTTTACAGCTATGGTGCTGCATCCCCAGGAGTCCACTGAAATTAAACAAGGAAGAAATAGGGAACAAGGAAAAGTAAGATGGGGGAAGGGAGGAACTGTGAAGCATGAAAGAACTGAAAGAGAAGCATAGAAGCTATAGGATACCTCGTCAGTGATTTGTATTTTGTTCAGTATATTACAGCAAAAAAGGATGGGGTAAAAGGTTTTGTGACAATTCCAGGTGTCATCCTTCTGGTCTGCCTCTGKCTGCTGCTTCTGTTTTTCTGCTCAGCTGACTAATTTCCTCCTTTGCAGGGCCGGGACATGAATCAGTTGGTGCAGGACTGTCAAAACACTCGGACCCTCAAATTTCACTTCCATATTTACGTTGTTTTGATAACATACATACAGAGCAGGCAGCTATAAATACTAGTTTAAAYCTTTAGAGCAATACGTGAGGTTTCATCAACCAAAGAAAAAGTCCTGCCTACAATTCCTCCTGTGGGAGGAATTTCTTCACAGAAAGGGTCATTAAACRTTGGAACGGGCTGCTCAGGGAGGCGGTGGAGTCACCGTCCCTGGAACTGTTAAAGGAAAGACTGGATGTGGCACTCAGTGCCAAGGTCTGGCTGACAAGGTGGTGTTAGGTCATAGRTTGGACTATTCAATGACCTCAGAGGTCTTTTCCAACTTCACTGATTCTGTGATTCTTCAACAATTAAAACAAAAATTGCAGCTTTTGTCAATGTTTAGAGCTGTTTAGAGACAAGAAGTCTCCCGAGTTCTTTCTTCCAGTTAGAATTTACCAAATGTTAATTCTCCAAATCGGGCTATAGAATTTCACTTACCGATAGCCTAACTAACCAAAACTACGACAGCGAATTCGGCTGGGAAAACATTCAACTTAAACTTGASGGCAAAAAAATCACACCCTCCGTGCCACAAAAAACGGGAAGGGGGGTTTTCCCGAACACCAGATTCTTCCCGTCGCAGCCGCCGGCCGAATCGAGGTCATTTAGGGAAAAAGGGAAAAAACAAACAACAGACACACACACACACACAAACCAAACCCGGGCCGACGTTTATTGCGAAGTTGCTGCGGGCGCAGCTCCCAACTTTTGTCTGGCGGCGGCAGCGCCGGGCGCGGCCGCAGGGGGAGCCCCGCGCCGCCGGACCCCG